TTTAAAATTTTTAAAATTCAGTATTTAAGATATCAGGATTTAGATTATTTTAGAGTTTTGCATTTAATGTTTTAGATTTAGTGTTTTATAGTTTTGTTAGAGTTTAAATTCTTAAAATGTAGTGTTTAATGTGTTTAAATTTAAATTTTTTAATCAATTATTTAAATAATTCAGTGGTTATCTTCTTCTGCTAAAAGTAAAAGATTTTGAACTTGAATAGCATGACATGCAAACGGAATGAAATAAGAAATAAGAGATAATTACCTTTTATTATACAATCAAGATAAAAAAAATTGAAAATTTTTAAATTTAATACTTAATAGATGTAAAAATTTAATATTTAAATAATTTAAAATACCAATAACTTATTAATAAAAGTAAAAAAAATTCGATTCGATTTAAATAAAGTTTCAAACTCAAATACTATGAATGAAGAAATAAAGAATAATCGACCTAGGGACCGATCGGTCCTGTAGCATTACTCTTTGTTCAACTACGAATATTAACCCAACGCCCCACTTGGGCCTCATGGGCCACAAGCATTTATGCTTAAAGCGACATTGTATCTTTGATTTAAGAGAAAATGGGAGTGGAGCGGAATGATACAATATTTTTTTCTTTTTCTCATTTTATTTGGATGAAGAAAAAAGGCAAAGTAAAATGTAAAAGAAAAGATTTTGCTCTCTCTTTTTTCTTCTAAATTTTTCACTAATCAAATAGATAAATTTTTTACTCTTCTCTTTTCCTTTCCTTTAAACCAAATATATAATTAAAGAAGAATTAACATGTATAATATCACTTAATATTACAAGTTTAAAATTAATTATGATATATCATAATATAATTTTTTTATTTAAAATTTATCTATAATATTATATGTATTTATTAATTTAATAATATATTATGATTATAAATTTATAATTTTATATAATATTTTATATTTAAAAAATATAATAAATGCATATCTTAAAAATAAAAAATATAATAAAATTACTTGTAATATGTATTCCAAAAACATAAGTTAATAATTTTTTTAAAAAAACTAACTTTAAATATATAGATTGTTTAAACAGTTGGATATCTTTCACTTTCGTTTCACGCACCTCAAAACCATCGCCGGTGGATATAGTTATGGGCTTGTGATGAGAAAAGTTGACTTCATGATGAGCCTGTTTGCTTTTATCAGTATTCAATTATACGTAGTGAATTTAATTTGAAAAAAGAAAATTTTAGGATGGCCACCTAACAATATTCCATCTAAATTAATTAAAGCTATGATATGTCCATTGGAATGTGTGATCCAAATGTATAATTAATAGTGTATATATGTGTGTTAGTCTAATGAAAGAACATTCGAGTGAGAAAAAGGATACAAAGGATCTTTGAAAGTTATGGAAGAAGAGCTCAAGAACTTTGTTAAGGTATGGGTTTTAGCCATTACATCTCTATGCTACTCTTACTATATTGCAGCAAAGATCCCAAAAGGCTTTCTAAGGCTCCTTTCCCTCCTCCCTGTTATTTCTCTCTTCCTTTTCCTCCCCATGAATCTCTTCTCTTGTTATTATGTCTGTGGATTAACATCCATCTTCCTTTCTTGGTATGCTAACTTTAAGCTCATTTTGTTCTCCTTTGATCATGGCCCTCTATCCCCACTCCCACCACAACTTCTTCACTTCATCTTTATAGCTTCTCTCCCCATTAAGATAAAAAAGTATCCACCCCAAGAAAAACCTCAAACTTCATCTCTTGGAACAATTATATTGGCCATAAAAGTTGCAATTACAATTATGCTTTTTGAGGCTTACAACTACGGAAAGCACTTGAATGCAAATATTGTTCTTGCCCTTTTTCCCATCCACTTTATCTTTGAAACGGAGTGCATATATGCATTATTTCAAATCCCACCAAAATTATTTTCTGGGTTTGAATTAGAGCCTCAATTCAAGGAGCCCTTACTTGCCAACTCCTTCCAAGATTTCTGGGGCCAGAGGTGGAATCTCATGAGCTCCGATGTACTTCGTCCCATTATATATAATCCTTTACGTAGTATTTCTGCACGTATTATTGGAGGCAGGTGGGCATCTTTGCCAGCAGTTTTAGTAACTTTCTTTGTATCTGGTCTACTGCACGAATTGATTTACTTTCACTTAACTCACCACCCTCCAACGTGGGAGGCAACTTGTTACTTTGTTATGCATGGGATTTGTGTGGATGTTGAGATAGTATTGAAGAAGAAGAAGGTGATATTGATAGGGAGAAAATGGCAGTTTCTCAATATAATCTCGAGGCTGTTGCTGCTGGGATTTCTACTAGTGACTTCTAGATGGATCTTGTTTGCACCATGGTTGAGAAATGGTATTTATGAGAAGGCCTACATGGAATACTCCATGGCGATAAACTTTGCAAAGGGAGCGCTACATCTATATTGATGTTCTATATGTAAAACTTGCCTTTGTTATAAAATAAGTGAAACTGAGGGAGTAAAAATATATAAAAATAAGGTAAGACAATGA